ACTCTACATCAAGCTAAAAGTAAAAATACTTAGTTTGAATGCTCAAATGCAAATCAAATACCATCCCATCTAATCATCAGAGAGATATATAAAAAACATTAAAAAAATGATGAAATAAATTGTTTTACAAGCAATTATATTGATCACTTTTTTTTAGTAAAATTTGAAAACTCATTTTTAAAATCATAATAATAATGACAGGATGGGCAATCAAGGGGGATGGGGGGTCTTTTACATTTTTTTGCTAGGTCCCCAAAAGATTTCAGTAACATTTGTAAGAAGTAAGCTTTTTGTGAAAACTTTTTTGTATTTGTTATTTTTATTTTTTTTTTAAGTTTTGATTTAAAAATTTTTTTTTGTTTAAAATAATTAGTTTAATAGGCGTAAACACTTAAAAAAAGAAAACGAGCATCACAGTAGATACCACATAAATTAACCAATCAAAATCAAAAGGATAGAGTAAAGAAACAAGGAACATTAATTCCTATTCAGAAACAACCAATGAAAACTACATGATGCTGCTAATATGGAGAAACTGCTCATTTGAAAACTACTTGATACTGTTATAGGGGATATTTCATTTGAAACTCAAGTCAGCTATTGCTAGTTGATTTGGTAACTTTAAATGTTGTTGAACAATGTAAGACATGCCAGGTTTGTAAGACAATCATGTTCTACATCATCAAACACAACAGGTGCCATTTATTTGGGATATATGTTAAATGGGAAATACCATTATTAGTTAATATTTTATTAAAGATCCTTTAAAACATGTTATACTTGAAAGAAGTCAGCAAAGATTATACACAGATTCAAAATTTGTTAATTATTAATTCAAAAACTATTTAAATTGATAACATGATACCACTTTATTCTAACATAAAAAGTAATAGCAACTGTGTAACACAGAACAACTTCATATAACTTCTTATTTTCATAACTAATATTGACTTCACTAAAAATAATTTTCTTAAAAAAATTCAAACAAATTTCTTAGAAAAAACAATTGAACTAATAAACTCTACACAGAACATACAAGCAATCCAAATCAAGATTTGAATTTTTTCAATTAATTTTTTTTTTTTTTGAGGTTGCTGGTGGTAGTGAAAAGATGGGTGTTTGATGGGTGTTTTAACGAGCACACACTTATAAAGGTGCGTGCGATGAATGACTATTTAATAAGTCCTTCACATCAGTTATAACCATTGTTATTACGGATGTAATAACAATAGTTACCATTGAACACTCTATTAGGAAAAAAAAAAAATTCTTCACTTAAAAAATTTTATATTATTGATGTACAAATCAGGAAAAAAAATTACTTGAGAAAAAGAAAGCTCAACTTTTTGAGTGAAATTACAAGGATGATCTCTTGTTTCAACATATGCTCTTGCACACACCATTTCATGAGGACACTAAATCATCAAAAAGCTATTTTTACTTTATAATAAAAATGAAAAACAGAACATAAAAAATAAAATAATAAAAAAATTACTGGTGCAAATATATGACCATCTTCAAAATCGTCATTCAAATGAATATCAAACTCATTGAATATGCCATTATAAGCTGATCCAAAAAAATATAAATATGAAAATAAAACATATAAATAAGATGTAATACTCCTAGAATTGTTAATAACAGACTTTAAAACTGTATCTATAATAACAGACTTAATCTATTTATTTTCATTCCAGATTACGGAGTTGCAAAATGCAACTCCATTATCTGGAATGGAAATAAATAGAACTTTAAATGTAATTTTAATCAAAAGATCAGAATCATTAAATAAATTGGGTCAGTGATGAAGAGGCCCATCTACATCACTAACATATATTTAACTAGAAAAAAAGAAAAGAGGTAAAGATACCTAAAGCTTCCCCTTCCTTAAAATTTTATAATACCATAATTCCATATTTGCAAAAAAAATAAATAAATAAATAAATAAATAAAAAACTCTTATATAAATAAAAACCAGTTTAAAAGAACTGAACTTAAAAAATTATTTTAAAAAACTTTGAGATTTTTTAGAAGAATTTATATGGATTTTATGGACTTATAGAAACTTTATGAAAGAGCTGCTAAATTTTTTCGAATGTCAAATATTTTGAAAAATAAATCAAGGGTTTCTATGACCTTGGTTAAAAAAAGGAAAGTTGGGTAAACAGATAACAGGAATAGTGAAAGATACAATTTACCAAATTCTTTTGTACTCGATGTATCCATATCATTCAGTGAAGATTTTCCCTGAAGTAAGTTATATAATAATAGATTAATAATATATTACATATTATACATCATCATGATCATCATGATCATCATGATTATCATTATCATCAACACCATCATGATCATAATATAAAATACCTCAGTAAGAAATTGTCTAGCTAAAAGAACAGCTTCAAAACCATCATTGTTCCCTGGTTCGACGAGTACCTAAACATAAAATCAATCAATAAAAGCGATCATCATTAAAACCATCATTGTTCCCTGGTTCGACGAGTACCTAAACATAAAATCAATCGATAAAAGTGATTTATGTAATAAAAAACATTTTTTGCAACTATTCTTAAGGCCTATGTTAGATGTTTCCATTTTATTATAAATAATTTCAGTTTAACATTTTAGATCAGTAACAAAATAATTTCAGTTTAACATTTTAGATCAGTTAACTAGAAAATTTAATTTGTGAAAGCATAACAAAAGTGATAAAAAAAATTTGTTAGTCATTTAGATAGTAAAATAAACTTTTTCCAAAAGGCCCGAAAAAGGCCCTTCTAAGATAAAAACCTTAAGACCCATGCGGGATTTCCACATAGCCTCTGGGGCCAGCATGTCGCTGTCTCATACACACATGATGTACAAAAAATGGCATAATAAACTCAGAATTTGCAGCTCAGCACCTGGTGTATTTTGTAACCTAGTATGAATTTCAAGATATTTTTCCAAATTTTGTTTTTATATGATTTATGTATAACCCTTATATTTATATCTAGCTTTGCTAATCAATATAAAGAACTTTTGTTTAAACTAAAATGTTTTTAAAAACCAGGTGTATGCCTGTAGATGAAATTACAATAGAATTCCTTTTATTGATAGTATCAATAAAATCTTAACAAAATTAAAGTATTAACAAAATCAATTGCATTAATAGTTAATAGTATATATCAATAGCATACCAAGAAATCGTTTGTTTTTTTCCACAAACTCTTGATTGCTTGTAATCTTTGCTTACGAAAAGGCATTTCTGTCAAAGAGTATGAAGATACAACAACGTCATACAAAACCTAATAAATGAAAAAAGTTTGCTTAATTTATTAAAATAAGATTATATATATATATATATATATATATATATATATATATATATATATATATATATATATATATATATATATATATATATATATATATATATATAACCCTCGGAATTAGGGTCGACATTCGGCAATGTCAACCTGAAAGTGTTTGAGGTCGGCATAAATTGACGATCTCATTTCTATGTTTTATGGTCAAACCTTTGTATCAAAGAGTTTTTGCCAACCTGATGCCGACCTAAAAAAGATTGAGGTCGGCAAATTAATGCCGACCTCATTTTTCCTAATTCTGAGGGTTGTGTGTGTGTATATATATATATATATATATATATATATATATATATATATATATATATATATATATATATATATTATATATATATATATATATATATATATATATATATATATATATATATATATCAGTCATGTATTTAAAAAACCATAAGTAAAAAAATCATATTTTTAAAAATAAATTTTTTTAATTAAACAGCACATAATTAAAAAAAAATAAAATAAAATAAAACAGAAAAAATTGCTCATAAGAAAAAAAGTTTAGATGGCTCTATGAACCAATTTTGTGAAGTATCGCGTCATAAATATAAAAAATATATGATAAAATAAAAAGTATATAATAAAATAAAAAAATATGATAAAATAATAAATATATGATAGAATAATAAATATATGATAAGATAATAAATATATGATAAAATAATAAATATACAATAAAATGATAGCATTAAAAATATAAAGTATTATAATAATTATATAAAATAAAATACTACATAAAAAGATATTATAAAATATAATAAATAATATATAAATTATAAAAGATCAAATAACTAACATTAGATTTAACAAAATGGTTACTACGCAACATAGTTTAAAGTTTCAAAAGTTTCATTGTATTTATAGTTTCAAATTTTTTATAGTTTCAAATTTTTCAAATTTTCAAGTAATCAGCGCAACAACTACCTCACATAAAATGTTAAGCTGTTTTTAATACCAGTTTTGGTTGATAATTAAATAGTGTAATTCAAAGCAAACAGAAATTTACTAAACTTCTTAGCACACAAACATCAACTAAACTTCTTAGCAAACAGATATCTACTAAACTTCATAGCAAACAGACATCTACTAAACTTCATAGCAAACAGACATCTACTATAGGAAAAAAAAGTCATAGCTAAAAAGTTAAAAAAATTCAATTTTGAATTTTTTTTACTAGCAATCATTAACCAATAGTAAAAGGTTTTATATGTATATAGAAAAACTATACATATTGTCAAATTTTTAAAGTTATGAAAATATATCTCTATATATCTTTTAAATTAAAAACGGTAACTAAAAATTTAATGTATAAGAATTTTGAGTGAAAAGTTAACATAAGTAATTGTGTTGAAATCAAATGGTTTACTGTCAAAGAAATTCCAAATATTTTTAAATTCAAATTTTAAATTGTGGTTCTTTATTTGTTAATTTTTTTGCTTGAAAAATTATTTTTTGATTGAAAAATTATTTTTTGATCTGTTCTTATTTCTAAAGTAAAGGTAAGCAACTCTAAAAAATTCTTTACATTATTACTATTTATCGATTTTAGAAAAGGTTTTGACTTGGTAGATTCCAAATTACTGATTTTGAAGCCAAAATATTACGGTTTTTCAACTGATGCTTTGAACTTAATAAGCAACTATTTTCATAATAGAAAAATTTTTACAAAAGTTAAAGATGCATATTCTAACGAAGAACAAGTATACCACAAGGTATACCACATTTACAAGGTATACCACAGGGCTCTATTTTAAGAGCTCTTTTATTTTTATTTTTATCAATGATCTACCTAAATATTTGACATTATTTGAATCAAGATTATTTGCAGATGATGCAACACTTATGACAACAAATATAAACCATCTAATAACAAGAACTCAGCATTTAATAATTTTATAATAATTTCAGAGTATTATTATTCTAATAAACTCGACATCAATTGGGATAAAACTAAGGCAATGTTTTTAACAAATAAGCATACATCTAGAATAATATTGCCAACATCAATCATATTAAGTGATAAGTTCAAAAATTGAAATAGTTAATAAATTTTCTTTGCTTGGTGTCATTATAAATAGTAATTTACATTTTACCGAACGCATAAATGAAATAGATGAAAGTAAAAGCACACAAAAAATTATTCTCAATAACTAACATGTTTGATCTAGCCTTCAAAGTTTGTTTACAATTCTTCAAAACATTCATTCTACCTAACTTTGATTACTGCTCAAGTCTTATAATTTACTACATGAAAAAAAAAAATACAAAGCCTTAGCAATCCATACTATGTGATTTTATTTGTACTACTTAAAACTAATATTCAAAGCAAAGATATATTTTAAATCAATCAACATACAACCTACAAAATTTTTATCATCGATTTTTATGCAGAGCAGTAAAACTATGCAATAAAATAATTTATTACAAGAAAACTATGAACTTATTCAAACAATTTGATTTTATTAACCTTGATAACATCAAGTACAACACTTGAAATAAAATCTTTTTAAACTTTAAAGTGTCCAACAAACAGATGATGATGAACAGTCATTAAAGTCTTTTTTCAGCAATATAATCAGTAAGTATCGCAATGACAATATCAAATTAGCACCAAAAGAATTTAGTGATCTATATTTACTGAACAACATCAACTCAATTATAACAAATACAACCATCAACAACATTAGGTTTAATGTCAATATAAACAAAATAAACAACTATATTGACTTTTAAGTGAAGAATTTAGAAAAAAAGAAAGACTAGACATTATTCAAATTGTTTAACATCTTTTATTTTGTATTTACAATAATTTATACTACTTGCATCTTATATTAAAAACACTTCTATTCACCAGCAATAATAAAAGACATATAGTCCATAGAAAAATTAAGTTAAGAAATAAAAATAAGTTAGGAAATAAAAATATTTAGTTAAGAAAGATTTAAGAAATGTTTAGTTAAGAAAGATTTAGTTAGAAGTTAAGAAATATTTTTGTTGAACAATCTAAATTTCAAAAAAATATAAAGATTTTTACTTGTGGTTCTTTATTTTCTAGAAAAATTATACAGACATTATAATAGAATAATGAACTTAAAGCCTAAAAAAAAACTCTAGTTAAAAATTGTAATTTTTTTACTTAGGGTTCATGATTTTTGAAAAAATATTGTTGCTTTTAAATACTTTTATAAATCTATGCGATAGAGTTGTGTTTATTTTGAGTACTTTAGAGTGATGTTCTTTTAGCTAGAAAAATCTTGATTACAATTGTCATAAAAAAGTTTGAATGATAGCTCTCAGTGCTATCAACATTTCCATTTTTATTTTTTTAATCACTAATTCCATAATGTTTGGATATGATGTCATTGAATTTCCAAAGTAATAAACATCTCCTCAGAGTCGCGTCTATTATTACAGGCGTTTCGATGAGGATCAGCACTTATAACTAGTTTATCCCGTCAGACAAACGTCATCACCACTTGTGCTTTACCCCACGACTTACGCCTTATCCATACTGCAGTAAAAAAGGTCTCACTACAAATAGCCAAAACCCCACCAACCCAAAATTTGTAAAACACTAATGTTTTTTTAAAGATATGATATGAAAAGTGTAGATAAACTGTAAAAAATAAATAACAATAACTAAATAAATCACTTACCATACCACCGAAAGAAAACATGAAAGCACAATAAATTAAAATTCTAATCGAAACATAAAAATATAAATAAATTCAACTTAAGATCTAAAACCAGATAGGTATTATAAGCATAAATAAACCAAAGATAAACAGAAATCAGAATACCTCATTAAAATTTTTTTTTTTAAACAACAAAACAACAATAGCCTTAAATAAACTCTAACGCTGTCATAGATACCTCATTCGAAATGTGATAACCAATCAAAAGTGTAGGAAAATGAAAAACCCGCGAAACCTAGAACCATAACAATGATAGAACAATGTGTGGTTGCAAAAAAATCGTCGCACAAAGACCTTAATAAAGTAACCGGCATAAATGTAGACATTAAATGAAGGATATAAAAAAATTCCTCTGAATAATAATAAAAGATGAAAATTATGCATATGAAAATTCAAATAAAGTTAAGTAATCAATGCAAGATAATAAATCATAAAAATTCATAATAAACAGTAATAATATGAAAATCAGCAGATAAATAATATATTAATGAATATTGCAATAAGAAAACCTAAATACTATAACAAAGCCAGATAAATTTAAAATAAATGAGTGCTTAAAAATTTATTTTGGGTGATATAACAGTGATATAAGTCGTGATATAAAAACGATATACGAAGCGGGAAAAAATATTGTAAAAAAGTAAAGTTTTCTCTACGGTCCGAATTACAAGTAACTTTGAGACCATTTCTAAATCGAAATATCGGAGAAGTAAAGGTTTCTCTACGGTCCGATTTTAATGTAATTTTGAAACCATAACAAACGCACGATAAAATTTTATTAAAAAACTTGTAAATTATAAATAAAACTAGAAAATTGATCAAAAACCATCAAGTCATACATGAATAATCTTTTTAATTCAGTTTTAAGTTAAAAATATTAAAATATTTTATGACATTGATCCATACTTCTTTTTTTATCTTCTGGAGAAATGGCTTACTGAATCTTGAATTTCAACAGTTTTCAAGCTTTTTCAATGGGATTTAAGTCAGATGAGATGCCACACCATTTTAAAAAATTTCTTTTTTGTTACACATATTGTTACAATCAATCATTTTGATATATGGCATCCGGCATTGCCAGCATAAAAATAGGTGTTTAAGAGTTTTGTCTCTAAAACATTGACCTAACATTCAGAATTCACTGTTTGGTTCTTGGGTAAAAAATATAGGTAAAAATATAGTTGAAACAGCCATAAACTATTATGTGTGTTCAAAGATTTTACCTATTTTCTACGTGTATGGAGGTTAAAACCTCATATATAGATCATAAAAATCAGCTTGGCGCACATGGACTCAGCTTATGAAAGAAAAATTACTCTCATTAATCCAAATGCAACTGCTCTGGTGACCAATGTCTATATCTATGAGCAAGTAACCTACTCACTGCATGTGAGTAGGTTACCTACTCACTGCATGTGAGTAGGTAAGCCTAAGTCCTGAAATAATATTTCTCTAGAAATGATATTTTGCAATTCCAAAATATCATACCTAATGTTTTAAGGTACTGTTTGCAGGAAGTAGCTCCTTTAAATTATTCTAGGTCTGGTCAGGTTTAGGATCATAGCGATCGCCCTGCAACTAGTATTATGTAACCCAGTACTACCTGGCTATGTCCTGCTGCCTAGCAGAGTTTACTTTTTAGGCAAAGGCTAAAAGAAACAAACTCTGACAAATCCCCTGCCTTGCTGCTCTTTGTTGAGTAAAGGCTAGAGATGGTGTCTCGATAAAAATGTTGATGATGTTGGGCAGATGTTGATGATTGCTGATGACTCAACTTTATACTCCTGTCTTGACAAAAGTCTTCTCTTTTCGATTGCTTAGTACAGACAGCAGATCTTGAATCTGATCTCACTTCTGGAACAGATTGGGGCTCACAGTGGCTATTAAATTTTAACTCCAACAAAATTCAGTTATTTACTGCAAACAACTATCGCAGTACTGTCGACATTCCTATATTGATGAATAGCAACCCTCTCACTGAGTCCTCTACTATTACGTCTTTTTGGATTATCATTTACTACTGATCTTTTGTAAAAACTATCTATACAATCGATTGCTAAATTAGCATATGCTAAGGTTGCTTTTCTTTATCGTGCTTGCCATTTTCTCTCTCCTGATTCCATTCTCTACTTCTACGAATCTCTTATTTGTTCCTGTATGGTATACTGTTGTAATATTTGGGCTGGTTCTTCTAATGATACTTTTTTCTTTTAGACAAGGTCCAAAAACGCATTGTAAACGTAGTTGGACCCGATCTATGTGCTAATCTTAAGTCTCTTTCCAATCGCTGTAAAGTTGCATCTCTTTCTCTTTTCTACTAATACTACCATGGTCACTGCTTAAAGGAGCTTTCATCATATTTCCTTCAACTAAAACTTATTCTTGCTTGACTCATCATTCATCAAATCCTCATTCTTTTACTGTACCTGTCTCTGCATGCTCTAAAAACTTTTATTTTATTTTAACTTGTATTTGTCTAGTTTTTTTACCTGCACTTTAATCTTTTAGAATTCTCCCCCACCTTTATATTTTCCTGACTCATATAACCTTCAACTTTTCAAGTTTTCTGTCAACACTTTCTTTGCTCTATAACTCTGTTTTTTTTTCTAGTAACTCCCAACTTGGTAGTGGTTTCTTGCAGCCTTGTTAGGAGTGAATCAGAATTAAAAAAAAAAAGTCTGCATTGAACTGTGCGAACTGACACATTTAATAGGTCAGATCTAATATGATATTTTCTCAATTGCTCAGCAGTTTTGCACAAATTTTTGATTGCCACTTTCTTTAACAATAAATTTATTTCTTTACTAGTTTTTTTAGGCTGGGCAGTTGCAATATTTTAGTTTGGAACCTCTCGAATGTTAAGATCTCTTTATTGCAATAAAAGGCTACTTATTACCCTTCTTGAACATCCAATATGCTTACAAATAAGGTTCATAGGCATGTTTTCTTTTTGCCATGCCAGAATCATTGCTTTTTCTTTTAGAAAGATTTATTTCTCTGGTATATTGGACATTTTTAAAAACCAATAATGTTGTAAAAAAGAAAGTGTTTAAAAAATGGGAAAAACAGGTTGAAGTTTAATGACTTGTTTTGAAGTTTGTATGTGAATGCTCTAACTTCCTAACAAAAGATGACTCATTTTTGTGAGTACATAAGATCAGATAACAAAGTTCATTTTGCACATTTTTTCCACAGGAGAATTTAAGATTTTTTTGACTCATTCCTTTGGATTTTTTTAAATTTTTAATTTAACTTTTAATCTAAAACTTAATATTTTTTGAAAACTCGTCTGAAAGATTTGTTAATTAAAGTTGCTAACCAAAGTTGTTAACAAAAGTTGTTGATTCCAAGTCAATAGCAGATATAAAAGTTTTTTTCATGTCGGTATAAACCATTTTTATTGTAATGTTTCTATGGAAACTCTTATTTAAATGTTTTTATGGAAATTTTTATAAATGTTTATACAACTATTATATATTTTATTTGTTAGAAAAAAAAAAAAGATTTATATAATAAAATACTTTGTTTGAAAGTGGCAAAAATCTTTTGAAAAAGACATTTGGAATCTTTAAAGGATGATTCAAGTCATCAGATCCTAAAAAATAAATAAATTTTTGCATAACTTTTTATAATTTTCACTATAAAATCAAATCAAATAACATTATTAATCCTATCATAATAAAATAATTCAAATAATTTAGCAATCTAAACTTAATAAACTTTCTAATTTATCTCAGCCTAAAAATATTTAATCAGTAATTTTCTTATATAAGAAATATAAATAAAATATTTTATCAGAAATTCTTAAAGAAATATAAATAAAATATTTTATCAGAAATTTTATAAGAAATATAAATAAAATAAATAAAAAAGATTATAGTTTAATTTTCAACTTAAATTCAAAAAAATTTTTTGAGTTTTTGAAAAACTTCATACTTTGATTTTACCTTGAAAAAAATAATTTTTATTTACTATCTACTTTTTAATTAACTTTTTGATAACTTATTGTTTAAAAATATTTATAGTTTTGTTAATTATATTTTTGTGTTGGTTTTTGCAACAATTTAATCAAAGCCAAGTATAATAAGCAAATAAAATCAAGTATTTAAATCCAGTTTTAATCACAGCCAAGTATAATAAGCAAATAAAATCAAGTAAATTTAAATCCAGTTTTAATCACAGCCAAGTATAATAAGCAATTAAAATCAAGTAAATTTAAATCCAGTTTTAATCACAGCCAAGTATAATAAGTAATGGAAGTAGCAATCTTTGCTAATTCAATTGTGTTAATTGTACTAAAATAATGAATTACATAAAGAAAACATGAGTAACCCCATCATAATAAAATAATTAAAATAACTTAATAACCTAAACATAATATTTTAATTTATCAAATATTCTCTAAGCCTAAAATTATAGATTAAATACCATCTATGATAACAGATATTCCTATGGAAGCTAAGCAATCAACGACAAGAACAAAGCAAGTAAATAAGCAATTAGTAATAAATGATCTATCAGCAATAAATGATTTATACTAACAATCTTCCTATGTTATTTTTGCTTCTACAACACTTTCATCATTATCAACCATCATCATTATTATCATCATTATGATAATAATCAGATGGCCCTGATTAGATATAATAAACATAAGTATTATTTGTGTAAAACTTAAACGATAGAAATTAGTTTGAATAACCTGAACTTTGATAATATTATTCAACTTAAATAATAATATCTGAACAAGTGAGATGAGAGTACCTGTGCATAATAATCAAATATTCAAAATATATAATGTACTTATTACTTTAAATAAGAAGGAACCTAACAAGCTTGAACTTAAAATTCAAATGATTGGAGTTATGAAAAGATAAGCTTATTCAAAGTGTTGGGTGCTTACTTTTCTCCAACGTAAATGAGTATATACCTACCACAATATAGCTAAAAGTAGTTTATATAAACTTTTGAAAATATTTTTGAAAAAATATTTTCAAAAGTTTAAAGAAAAGATTTTTGAAAATACTATGAGTTATAAAATTATGCTCAAGAGTTACTGAATGTTTATATTTGCAAAACGCTCTATGAGAAGCTCATATGCTTAACAGTCTAAGCCAGAGTGAAGTGATTTTGAGAAAAAGGCAAAAAACTGAACTGCTCTTAGTTGCGCATCAACAGAAAATGATTTTTTCTTTGTTTATTTTTAGGACAAAAACTTTTCAGTGTAATACTTAAACAGATGATAGATTTCAGTATATAGAGTGTGGAAATAGAACTAACTCAATATTTATATTTATGTTACTTAGTGCATTTAGCAGATGAGCTTCTCAGATAAAATCCTTATAACAATTTCTAATTTATAAATATTATTATACTATTATATACACTTATATACAAATTCAGACAGCATGTGAAAATATATTTAGATATTTTTTGGAAAAAAAAAGTAATAATGCAATATGTATGATATTACAATTTATTTTAGGCTAAATATAATGATTTCTGTTGAAAAAAAGTTTTTTTTCCAATACATTGACAGAATTTGAAAGTGATAACATAAAAGTGATGAGTAACAAATGATAATATACATTTGATGATGAGTAATCTGAGTGATGATGAAAACTTTATACCGGAAGCTATTGATAATGATTGCAATTATAATGTTTATGAATCATCTGAAACTGATTCAGCTTATGGTGAAATTGATTTTTTATGCATAAATTGATTTAAATGATGACAATATAAAAAGAAAAAAACGATCTTATTAATGATGATCTAATTAATCTAGTTATAGAACAAACAAACATTTACAGTCTTCAAGAAAAAGGTGCAACAATTGGTGTCACTGATAGTGAAATAGAATAGTATATTGGAATACTGTGTATGATGGATATTATAAAACTTCTCAGTCAACGTATGTATTGGTTTCATAACACTCGCATATCTATAATTGCAGATATTATGTTTATAAAAAGATTTGAAAATTTTGCATTTTTTATGATAATAGCATTGAAAAATATATTTTTTTACAGAAAAATTATCCAGACTATAGTAAGAATATAAAATATAGGCATAAGACATTTTATTTCCAAAACAATTGCAATTCAGGCAATGTTTTAATTTTGGCAACTTTCTTTTATTCATATGGTTTAGCATTTACAAAGAGTAAAAATGACGATTAGATGGATGTGTGCTGCTAACAACATGTTACAAATATCACCATTTTTATTTTACTCTTTAATTATTTTTGGGCAATCAATATATATAAAATTCTAATTTTTTTTTTTTTTTACACCATCTTTTTGCAGCTGTTCCATACTCTAACAATTTACTTGCTGACAATTGATTTTGAAAGATTCTATAGTGCATTAGAGGGAGGCGGTAAGGTGAGGGCTACTTTTCTTGATAAATTAAAAACATTTGATAAAGTCGGACATGCTGGTCTTGCTTCATATAGTTCATCTTGGAAAAGTTTTTGAGACTAATAAGGCCAATACTCTTCTTTATTTCCAATAACTTTTGGGATACCTTAAGATTGCATCCTTGGCCCCAAATTGTTTTTCATTTATATTAATGATCTTCCTGACAATCTAATATCTAAACTGGCTCTATTTGAAATAAAAAAGTCATCGCTGTTCGTTTAAGACAGGCAACCAATCTTGACCATGATCATTCTTATGCTTAGGAACTACAGTAGCTTCTGTATTTTAGCCCAAACAAAACTCAGTTGTTTGCTGCAAACAACTATTGAAAACAAAACTCAGTTGTTTACTGAAACAAACAAACAAAACTATGTTGTACAAAATAATTGTTGTTAACTGAAACATTGAAATATTGTTAATAATATGAATATATTGCAAAATGGTGGTAAAATAAACTACCATCTCTTGTTCCACCAACTAACAAGCAAATTCCTTTTACTGTCCTTTCATCCTTTAAAAACTTTTATTTATCTTTTTTTTCCTCACAAATCACAACATTTTTTTGCTATAGAACTCTTTCCCATGGTCATGTTATCCTGACCTATACAATAGTTTTTTTTTCTGTCAACTGTTGTCTTGCTGTTTTAACATTATTCTTTGTTTTCTGGTAATTTTTAACTTATAGTGGTTGCTTGCTGCTTCGTTAAGGGTAAAATATTTATAAAAATAATAATAAAGACAACAGCTAAAAGAACTTTCAATTTCTCAGAGTTGCATGAATAACTTCAGTAAACTAAGAAAGAACCTAACATAAAAGTTTTGAAAAAGAAATGAATAATGATAATTTGACAAAATTTTGCTGAAAATATCTAAATGGACAAATTATAAACTCTCTGAGTAATTTTAAAAAAATTAAAAAGAATGTTAAAAAGTAAATAAAGTATCTGGAACAATTTAATAATTTTGTGAATTTTTTTTTTTTATCATCAAACTTTTTTTTTATTACTATAAATAGTCTTTACTGTCAGTTTTTAGTTAACAATAAATTAAGAGCAACAATGAAACTGAAATAAAAATTAAAATTTCAACTTACCTCGTAATAAAAACTCTGCAGCTTCTATCATCTTTTCAGATGCATCAACACATTGGTACTCCTTTATCTCATTTCCCCATAATTGGTTTGCAGTCCTAAAAACAATATACTTTTTAATTTATTTGCAGTTCAAATAATAAATATTCTTATTAATAAGACCTTAAATATTGTAATTAAACATATTTATTTTTTTTGGAATAAAGTTTTAAAAAATACCAAACAGTCATGCCAGATCCTGAGCCAAAGTCTAAAAGTGTTTTTGGTTTGTATTCTGGTACTCGTTTTTTAATCTAAATAATAATGATTTAAAATTAAAGTTAAGGTGGTAGAGTGCTCAAGAAATCAAATCCTTCAAAAGTTACATTTTAGATATTATTTACATCTAAATTGATTCAAATTTACTTTTGAGTGACAAAATTTAAAAAAAAAATTAATTTTTTTTTGGTTTCAGAATTTGGTAAAAAATATTATCAACTGTTTGAATTTTAATGAATTAATTAATAAAAATTACTTTTTGAACTGCATTCTGTCAAATTCAGGTTTTAAGATATATTAGATAACATAAAATAAATATATAGTTAGTTAGATAATTGTAATTCAACCTTACAGTGTTAGCATTGAGCGCTGTAGCAGCACTGTGGCAGTTTTTTTTGAGCACAACCAACTGGTTATTAAAGGCCTTTAGGCTTTTAGCATCTACAATCTTATCTGGTAGGTGATTCCAGTTTTCAACAAGTCAATTTGTGAATAAGATACTTCTATTATTATTGAATTGAACTATCTCTTTGACCACTTAACTTCTAACACGATGGTGAGGTGCAGAACAGATTGGAAGTGTGACGCCAGTTGACAGTTTATTTACCAGATTCAATTATAAAAACTGTATTAAGTCTCCACGATGACATCTTTCTTTGAGCGTGGTTAGGTCTAAAATACAGTTTATTTTTATGAGGTAGATGCTTTATACTATGAGCTATCTTAGTGGCGTTTCTGGACTATCTTTAAAATATTTATATCTTTAATTGTATGTGGGTTCAAATTTGAAGCAGGGAATTCGAAATTAGGACGGACATTTGTTATGTATAATTTTTTCCATACTGCTACATTGAGCGAAACAAACTGATTTAAGCATACCATCTTGTTGGCCTTAGAGATAGCAGTGCATACCTGTTGCATAACAATGATTCCTAAATCATGATCAGATTAGTTCGATTTCAAATAAGTCAAGTCAATTTATCAACGTCGAGCAAAGAAATTTGCATTTAGAAATGTTTAGCTTCATATTCCATACTCTTGTACCCTCAGTTATAGCATCAATGTCATTTTGGAACACAGTACAATCATTCTGTAGATCACCAGTTTTTGTTCCAGTCGAATTTGAGCAAGCAGTTTTGTGTCATCTGCAAATATTTTACAGATTGACTTAATTCTTTTCGGCAGGTCTTTTATAAAGATCATAAAGAGCACTGATCCCAATACTGGCTATTGAGGAATACTGCTATAAACTGGCGCCCATTTTGATACCATTTCACCCATTCGTTGTTTAGGGTTGCTTGAAAAGATTTCACCCATTTCAGAATTTGACTATTGTCCCCGTACCCTTCTAGTTTCAGGATTAGACTCTTATGGTGAACCTTGTCGAAGTTCTTGGCATAGTCAAGGAAGAGCAAGCCTACAGATGATTGATTAACTGATGCTTTTGTCTAATAAGTCCATAGTTTTAAGCTAATAAGTCCATAGTTTTAAGGTGGTTTGTAGTACATGACTTAAAGGGAACAAAACCATACTGTTTTTGTGTGATCAAATTGCTGTCAACTGGGTGCATTTGGATGGCTTGCCTAACTATATTTTCCAGTAGGTTGCTGATAACAGAGATGAGACTGATTGGTCAGTAATTGCCCAGGTTGGTGGTAAAGCCTTTTTTGAATATAGGAGTAATATTTGCTACTTTCTATGCAGTAGGAACCTCACCTTGGTCAAGTGTTTGCTAAAACAGTGTGACTAAAGGTTTTGCCCATTCGGATGAACAGCTGTGAGAAACTAATGGATGGATATTATTAGATCTTTGTGTTTTATTTGGATTTATTTTTCTAATAAGTTGCTCAACTTGATTAGTATTAATGCTAATATTGCCTATTTTATTGTTAGTTTTGCTAAAAGGTTTGCCAAGTACCCGACTAGATGCTGAATTGAAGACGCTTATAAACTGTTTGTTAAGAATATTTACTTGTTGTTTGTCGATCGTTATTAGACCAGAGCTATTTAGTAAGGCACTAATACCAACTTTACCATTGTTTTTACTATTGCTATACACAAACAGACGTTTAAGATTTTTTAATTATAAGGTTCAAACTATTTTGTGCTTTTTCGCTAGTTTTTTTCAAACTATTTTTTACTTGGTTGTACCGTGTTTTTAAATTGCTGGACTTCCATTTATTTTCCATGCTTAGATGCCATAGCCATGATTTTAATCTAGATAGTTGCATAATCTCTTTGCATATCAAGGCACTGTCAATTTTCAAGTTATCTTATGATTGGGATTGATTCAACAGTTTATTATAAATAGACACAAAGGTATCATAAGCATCATTTATATTTTTGTTGGCTAGCAATAATGTAAAATCAATATTTGATAGTTTAGCGGACATAGCAGTGAAGTTACCTTTTCCATAGTTAAGGTTGAAGCTGGTGAATTTTATTCTAATCGGTAGGCGGTAGGAAGATTATAATTCCAGAGTAGACTTTAATAAGATTGGCAAGCTATACCCAGCGGGCACCCCAGCCCGATGATAATACACTGAAATGATTTTCGCTTATAATATGTCAATGGTGTTATTATAGGATTACCTTTGGTAGAATTAATACAATATTAATGTTCATAGCTTTCCAAGAGGTTGCCGTCAATGGTGCTGCTGAAGT